ACTACTCCTGCAAATTACTTTCATGTTTTAAGAAGACAAATACATCGTGATTTCAGAAAACCTGTATGTATATTATTATTGATTTTGGATTTTTTCAAAGGAAAAAATTATACCAAAATTGTTAATTGTTAATTAATATTATTTATCTTATATCTTTAGCTCATAGTGTTTGTGTCAAAAAGTCTTCTTCGACATCCAATGGCGCGTTCAACACTAGCAGAAATGACCGGTGAAACCCGTTTCAGCAGATATATACCTGATCCACATCCTGAGATGCTTGCATCACCTGAAAAGATAACAAGACATGTTTTTTGTTCAGGACAAGTATATTATACATTGCTTAAAGCACGTGATCAAAACAAAATGGATTATGTTGCAATATCAAGACTTGAGCAATTATCCCCATTCCCATATGATTTATTGTCACAACATGTTGACAAGTATCCAAATGCTCAACTTGTTTGGGCTCAAGAAGAACCATTAAATACAGGTGCTTGGAGTTATGTTGCGCCTAGAATAAGAACTCTTATGAATCATTCTGACCAAGAAGGTAATAATAATTGCATTTTGTGTGTTTTTCTAATTATGAACAAAAAAATTTTGTAATTAAATTAATTAATAAATTATTTAGGTAAAGCTGCTGTTCCAGCAACAAGACCACCTTCAGCTTCACCAGCTACAGGTAATAAAAAGCAACATATTCAAGAAGAACATGACCTAATTTCTCAAGCACTTATTGGCCAAGTTATCAAACCAAAAGAAATTGTAGGCGGAGTACCAATATGGTCATAATATTAATGATAGTGTTGGTGGTATTAATTAATGATGATGGTGTTGTTGAATGAACTTTTTATTCTATTATTGTTATTATTATTATTATTAAGAACATTGTACAGTCATTTTTATTTAATGTATTATATTATAGATTTATTTTTTGTGCATGTAAATTCCATACATTAAAAAGTTTATTGTATTTGTAAAACTTATTGCTGTATTGTAAATTAGCAAATATTCGAGATTTGTATAATATTTAAAGAAAATAGGTTTTAATGCGTTTCCTCTAGAGGGATGTCTGCCTGAGTAAAATGTACGAACCAGATCAATATTATTTGTTCGCGTTCATGGAAGGAAGTTGAGAATGTAGAGTTCGTCATCTTAATGAAGCAGGTGAACCTGCTGATTGTCTTATTTTAAAAGAAAGATATCTAAGGATTTAAGAGTTATCAATAGTTGATTTTCTAGCAAAATCAACGACGATATTATATGAACAAAAAAATTTATTTAAACACGAAAAAATTTTATGGGCTTATTTTTGGTTATACGTTCTAAAATGCAAATTCTGCAGTCACATACTGTACGTGATGCAATTCTGGTGGTGCAAGAATTTTACTATGATGATTTAATTTAGATCACTTCAAAAAATGCATGTGCTACAATTTACCGAAAGAGATCTTGAGGCTGCAACCGCTAAACTTGTAAAGAAAAAAGCATTGGTAAATATAATCTAAAACCAAAGCAAGTGTGTCAAGTCGTTCTCGATTTCCTAGAGGACTAATGGAAGAAGGTATTAAAATGTTAAAAGAGAACATGAAACAGAGGGAATTAAGAACAACCAATCATATTAATCTTTGGAATGGAATTGTGAATATGAATATATTTGTAACCAAAGATTGAAAAATCGGAACATCTAAAAGAAGAAGTCATTGAAAAGAAGAAAAAACAATTATTTTCTTGGATCCAGTTGCAGCAAGTTTATTGGAAAATATTTCAAATGTTAATAACACACCAAAAACAAAAATGATTTGTGTCATGTTTCGAACATGTGAACAATATATACTAAACAATTTATATATAGATTATGTTTTGATTTGATTGTTATAAAATTATCATAATGTCATCTTCTGATAAAGATACTCAAAGAAAAAGCATATTATAATTGTGGTAGAATGGAACAATTTGTGCAAAAGAAATACATTCCAGAATTACAATGTCTACTGTCTATTGTATGTAATCTTAAAAATTGAATGAAAAGACGAAAAAATTTACTGCACATGAATCTAGGGCAGTTGGTCAATATTTACACCATGATCCAAGACTTTCCACAAGGAATTTAGCAAACAAATTATCAACAATGTCATCGAAATGTCCACATGACTATTTCAAGACATTTGGCAAGTTTAGGCTACAAAAATAGGTTGACTTTAAAAACGCCTATGTTTACTATTGCTCATAAAGAAGCTTGTGTTGGTTGGACAACAAGACATCTCAATGACAACTTGGAAATCACTTTATTTTCTGACGAAACTACTTTTCAATTATTCAGAAATACAATAACTCAATGGTACAAAGGTGAAAGGCAGCATGAAGGATCCCTAAAGATCACACTAAAGTCTTTGCATGGGGAGGTTTTTGTATGCAAAGAAAAATATTCTTTTATGCTTCAGGGAAATTATGGATGCAAATCTTTATGTTGATATTTTGCAAAGGCATAATCAGGAAATTAACAGATTGCTCGGAAACAATTGGTGCTTCCAATATGATAATGATCCAAAGCACACACAACCAGGGTTTGTTGGTCATTCCTCAATGAAAATTTCCCTGAAATTATGGACTGGCCTTCCAATAGTCCAGACTTAAATCCAATTGAAAACCTTTGGGCTATTGTTAAAAGAAATGTAGAAATGCATATGCCTCAAAATCTTTCAGAACTGGAACAACACATGATAGAAGAATGGGATAAAATTCCAAGTAATAAAATAATATTCTAATCAACCTTGTCAGTTCAATGGGAAGGAGATGTGAGATGATAATTGAAATGGTGAAATGATAAACTATTAATTTTATATCAATAAAAATTTCAGATTTTAAGCATTATTTGATATATTTCTCATTCATTTTTATGCAGTAGTTTTTGAGCAATGGATAAATAAAAAATTCCAAAAGGTTTTATTTTAATTATGTAAAAATTTTAAAGAAGGTAACCAGGACACAAATTCCCATTTTTTCATTAAGCAAACAGGATCTAATACTTAATACTTCACCAGTCATAATCTACATGTTATAGGATAGTATTATGTAAAAACACAAATTTGGTCAAAAGACCTCGGAGGTGGTTTTGCTGGAGACAGACCCATATTTATTAAAATTTTATTTGTATATTCTTTTTCCCAACTTGTGCTCTTGCATCCTTTTACGTAGAGTTCCTAACCGTAATTCTAACTCCATATTCGAATATTCGTAAATCTAAAATTACGAATTTCGAATATTATTTCGGATACTCGTAATTATTTCGGATGCTCATTATTTCTAACAAATTATTGATTTTTTCTTGTTCTTTAATTTCTTTAATTGATAAAGTTTCTTTTGGACATCATTCAATTTGATTGTTCATCTCAAGCTATATCAAAAAAATTATTAATAAATTATATCATCATACAAATCAAAAATTTTTTTTACCAGTTGTAAGAATATTATGACATTTTAAAAATGATTTATGCAATTGAAGTATAGGAAAAAATTTTCTGCAAATTTCATTTGGGTTTGAAAGAATTACTTTTTAAATGAAAATGTTTTCTGAACAAATATTTTAATTACGGTATTATAAAAATATATGTCATCTTTATTATCTTTGAAAAATCTTTGTTGTATAGTAGGATAAGTCACAAATAAGTTAGTACTATTTGTTACCAATCGATAATCATTCATGTTTGAAATGATTGTATTCAAAATAATACAATAATTACGAGTATCCGAAATAATTACGAAATAAATCATATATATTCAAATATTCTCGAATAAATTGATTTTCGATTAGGAACACTACTTTTACGTTTTAAGTTTGGGAAAAAAAAAAGATTTTTGAGTTGGTCATGTGATTTCTTTCTCACAGGCATTAATATAATTATTAATTTCGGATTATGTCATGGAATAGTACTAAATAACAATCCGATTTAATAATAATGTGTTGGTTGGTTACGCGTTACATTTCCTTAAACGTATATAGTTGATTTTTATCGGTGAAGACCAAATGGTCCCGTGTAGAGATGTTCAAGTGCGCACCGATTTTTAAAAATTCCCACCTCTAGCCCGTGGTCCTAGAAAATTTTTTCTTTATAATAGTGTTTTCAACTTGATAATTTATATTCCATCACCATTACCCAATTCAAACTTCAGTTTAACAAAACTGGTTTAACAAAATTAAGTTAAAAATTTTTTTTCACAAGAATGTCAAGTTCAAAGTAACGAAAGAATTGATACTGCTGCATTTTCGCCAACCACTTCAACTTCAATTGTTCAATAATATTTCATCGTTAATTCAATTTGAATACATGACATTATACTACTTGTACCTTCCATTTCATCACCATCATCATCAATCGTTCAAATTCACAAATCATTAGAACTACTTTAAAGTAGATGAATATTTTACAAGAAGTAATGAAATCAGAAGTGCCGTATTTGTGCAATCACATATAGTGAGATTGGAGAAACTTCAACTTTAAATTGAAAAAATCATATCTGATGAAGAGGATAGTAGTGATGTTTAAAAATAGATTTAATTGTTGAAACGAATAATTTGTTAAAATTATAAAACTACAGTTAAACTTGGGTTTGAACTGCGGTTCAAACCGCGATAGTAAATTGCCGGTCGAAGCGGTTCAATAATCAAGCTGGTAGTTTATAAACCGAATCGAACCGTTCCGATCCCTACACCAAAGACATGAGATTTCACTATGGTAACTATATAGGAGCCTGACTGTTCAGAAAATCGAGCTATAATTTTAGTCATTTTTGGCATAGTTATTTGACGTTGGCGCATTCAATGATTGAGATGGGATATATTTATTAAAATAAATCCAAGACTTTTACTCAATTTACTGGTAATATTAATGAGCGTATTACTTTTTATAATATAATTGTTGTTTGTTATTGATAATCTTGAATATTCTTTTTAACTTGATACATTTCAATTTTTTGTTGAACATATTTAAGTGCGATTCCCAAACTGTTGTTATTATAGCTACTTTACCGGTAAATTTATTATTATTATTATTATTATTATTATTATTATTATTATTATTATTATTATTATTATTATACTCGGTAAACCAAATATCGAGAATTTTATAAATATCAATAATATATATTACCACCAATAAAAATCACAGTGATAAAAGTAGTTTATGTAAAAAAATCAGGGATTATTCTGGTTAATTTCAATAATATATACTGTACATGATGATTAATTATGTAAGCGAGTGTTGGTTATTATTGACATCATCATCGTTAACCATATACATACATACTACTTAATTAATTAAATAGATCATTAGAACAAGTTATTCCAATTTTTTTTCATTTCTTTAATCTTCTTTAAAATCAACAATTATTATTACAAAAAAAAACGCCCTGATTTGTTCTAGTAATTAGGTAAAAAAAATTCACATGTTTAAATTTTTACTTATTTGCTATTTAAATAATAATGCAACAAACAAACACAAACAAACAAAATGAATGATCGAGACCAAAGTGAGTGAGTGAAAGAAAATTAAAATGGTTAAAGCTGATTATTGTAAGAATTAACCTTTAAAACATTTTGTTTATTTAGGACAACAATGATAATTATGGTAATGATGATAATGATAATTTTTCTCACTTAAAAAAAATTTCTTTTTAAAGAAATCAAAAAATATGGAAAATGAAAAAAAACAAGTTTCTAAATTAAAACGGGTCGTTGACAACGACAAAATTGGCGAATGTAATGATAATTGTGGTAATAATAACGATAATAATGTTGATATTGATGTCGATATAGAAAAAAAAGCAAGTTGTGAGATTATTGAAGAAAATTCTCCAATCCCAATGGTTGTGGCGGTAAATATTAATCGAACAACTAGTGCTGCTATTAATTGAATTACTTGATAAACCCTTTTTTTTTGTTTTCATTAAAGGCTGTCAGCATAGAAGATAATCCGAAATTACCATGTTTAACATTTCGTTTTTGGATATTAAGTACCGTAAGTACATAATTAATTATATATATTGTTTCTGTGAAATAAGTATCACACTAATGGTAATTTTCTTGAAAAAAGTTTTTTACAATACTTGGTGCGACACTTTCAGAGTTCTATTATTTTCGTCCTAATGGCATTGGATTCTCGATGTTTTTCGTGTTGTTAATGTCATATGTGATTGGAAAATGGATGGAAAAATTTTTACCAAAACGTAAATTTAAATTTAAGGATCGTTTTGAATTTACATTGAATCCAGGTAAACTAACTTACACGTTCTTTATCTACCTATATCTCTCGCATATATATAAACATTAAATTTATGTTTTATCATTCTTTGGCATCGATTGACTTTTATTCTTCATTTGCATGAATGGTTGATTATAGGACCATTTAACATCAAAGAACATGTTTGTATAGCTGTAGCAACAGGCGCAGGTGGTGGATCTGCATACGCCACGGTAATTATTTATTTATTTCTATCAAGTTTTTTATCATTTATTAATCAACTTTTTATTATTGTTGTTGTTGTTGCCAATGATAAAAAGGATATAATAGCTATTCAAGAACTTTTTTATAATCACACAATTTCCTTTATGAAAGGATTTCTTTTATTGATGAGCACCCAAATTCTTGGATATGGTATCGCAGGATTTTTGCGAAAATGTAATCATGCAAGCATTTGTTTGACATTCTTGGATATATACTATATATGAGTGTGTGTGTGTATGTTATATGTTTATTCATTTTAATTAATTGTTTTTTTTTTTTTACAAAAAAATTTAAAAAAGATTTGGTTCGTCCTGCGAATATGATATGGCCATCTAATCTAGTTTTCGCGTCAATGTACAACACACTACATGGAAACAAACAAGAAACACGTGAAAAACTACGATTTTTTGTCATTTCCTTTCTTGTAATGTTTTTTTGGCAATTTATTCCACAATATATGTTCACCTGGTTGACTAGCATGGCTTTTTTGTGTTTGATTGTTCCATATAATGATCTCATTAAAAGATTGGGTAGTGGATATAATGGTGCCGGAATCTTGAGTATTACGTTGGATTGGAATGCAATTAGTCAATCAGGCCCTTTGTTTACTCCTTGGTAATATACTAATATATATCGTGTTTATCACGTGATTGTAAATTACTTATGAATCAATCAATTAATTTATAACACATAGGTGGGCACAAGTAAATTGGTATTTTGGAGTTGTTGTGGGAGCGTGGATTATTGCCCCATTATTATATTATAATAATGTTTTGTAAGTCAATCAACAGATAATGACGATCAATTTTATTTTTACTTTATTTTCATTGTTTTTTTTTTTTACTTTTAGAGAAGCGAAAAGGTTTCCATTTCTTGCAACATATTCTTTAGATAAATACGGAAATAGGCAAGTAAACCAAAAATAATAATAATTTTTTATTTTTTTTTCAAGTGCATAATAAATAAATTATATGATCAATAGATATAATCAATCAGCAATTATAGACCAAGTAACAGGCTCGTTGAATGTGACCGCATATGAGAATTATAGTCCCGTTTATTTATCGGTGACATTTGCAGCTTCTTATTTCTACTCGTTTGCTGCTCTTACAGCTGCGATAAGTCATGTATTTTTGTTTTATGGAAAAGAAATATGGGCAAGATTTAAAGCTAGTCGTGAAAATGAAAAGGAAGATGTTCATTGTAGAATGATGAAAATTTATCAAGGTTATTTCTATATTATTATTACCATAATTTTTATTTATTTGGGTTTGTTTTGATGGGTTTTATCTATTAATAGAAATTCCAAATAGTTGGTATGCTGCTCTCTTTTTTGCAATGTTAATAATTGCCATTGTACTTGGTTATGTCACCGAAGCAAATTTACCATGGTGGGGTTTATTAATGGCAATAGGCTTGGCGATGATTATGGTATTACCAATTGGTATGCGTGCGAATATTTATTTTTTTAATAGTAATAATTATGATTTAATGATAATCATAATTTTTTAAAATTAAAAATTTAATAAGGTGTAATTCAAGCCATTTCTAATAATCAAGTAGGACTTAATGTAATTACTGAGATGATATGTGGCTATGTTCTTCCTGGACGTCCAATTGCCAATGTTTATTTCAAATGTTATGGATATATGGCAATGTATCAATGTTTGCTTTTGGTTTCAGATTTAAAACTAGGTTTGCAAATTAAATGTGAATGAAATGAATGATATATTTATCATGTATAAATTTATTATGTACATACATTCATTCATATATATGAATTAATTTATTAATTGGTTGACATTCATTATATATTGATAAAGGACATTATATGAAAATACCACCTAGATCGATGTTTTTTGCTCAATTGTGGGGTACAGTTGTTGGTGGATTTATTAACTTCTGGGTATTGAAACTTATCATTTATGCAAAACGACCTTTTCTTGATGGAACGTTAAAAGATCCAACTGGTCAGGTAAGTTTTTTCTTATGAATTTTCTAATTGAGCTATTGCTATTTTTGTGAAATAAAATAATATTAGTTTATATCTTTTGAACTTTGTTAATAGTGGACAGGTTACCATTCACAAGTCTTTAATACTGCGTCCATTGTATGGGGATTAATTGGGCCTGCAAGAACTTTTGGTGTAAGAATATCATTTTAGTGTTATCATTGCTTATTAACTCAACTACTAAATACAAATTCAAATTTAAATTCAAATATATATAGTCTCAGTCATTATATCACCCATTATTATGGGGTTTTTTAATTGGATTCTTAGCCCCGGCACCATTCTACCTATTACATAGAAAATTTCCAAAAGTCAGATTCGATTTGGTGAACGTACCATTGATTTGTAGCGGACTACACCTATTACCTGGGTATTATACAAATTTTATTATAATGGGGTTCATAACAAGTTTCCTTAGTCAGTATTATGCCTACAGATATAAAAACAAGTAAACTATTTTTTCTTTTTTTTTTTTAGTAAACTTTTTTAATATTTTTTGGTGCATAATTTAAAAAATTTTTTTTTTTTTAGATGGTGGACAAAGTAAGTAAATTGTAAATCACTGTGTTAATTATTTCTTTGCATTAATTATTTTAAAATAAAATTTTTCTCTAGATACAACTACGTGATGTCGGCTTCATTCGATAGTGCTGCACAAATTGTGACAATGGTTATATTTTTTTGTTTGAATGGTGTTATTAAAGTACCATTTCCTGAATGGTGGGGTAATGATCAAGGTTCACAAGGTGAAAGGTGTTTTGGTGAAGATGATTATAACTAATTAATTAATTGAAAATAAATTTTATTATTAATATTAATAAAAATAATTTGTGCACATGCTTGCTTATTAAGGGTAGAGTGTAGTCATGTGTTTTTTTATATGATCAGCAAGAATAAAATAATTCCTGAACCTCTTTTTTAAGTCACTCACTAAACATAGCAGTAATATCTGCACCAAAAACTAGTTTTCGCGAGATGAAAATTAACACAAAATCCATTTTCAGCATGTATCCAATCATATATAGCAATAAAAAAAATTTTTATTGTTGGAGGGTTATTTCAAAAAAAAATTGTAAAGTCAAAAGTAGTTTTTCCATCTCTTATAAAAATTTTCTCATCACTTATAAAATATATAAAAATAAATAGAAACAATAATTTTCAAGAAAGGTAAGTGGTAAAAGTGGTATTGAAAGGAAATCAATAACAAGAATAACAAGATAATAAGCAAGATAATAATATGTCTCCAACGTATACTATTTGTTTTACTTATTTATTCTTTGTGGAAGTTATATCAAAAATGAGGGTATTTTATGAAGATAACCAATCAATTCGTTATCGAGAATAAATAAACATAGTAATAGTAATAGTGATAGCAAAAATCTTCACCTAATGCGGACATTCTCCGAAAGGCTTATCCTATCTTACCTGGACGTGGTGGAATAGGTTAACCCTAGGCTG